GGACTATGACAGGCTCTGATCTGGGATTAGATTAGCACAGAAACTTAATCCCCAGTTCTTCTAAATTATTTCTGTCCTGTAAACATTACGTCTGGCTGAATACCTGGGAATACAAATGTTGGCGGCAGGATCAGCCTGGACATGCAGTAACATGAATGGTGGTGACAGACCAGCTTTCCCAGGATTTGCGTGTCAGAGCCCCTGACACGGGCCCCACGCCTCAGACCGTCTCCTGACTAGGACGGCGGTGGCGCTCACAGCTGAGTGTCTGTCCTGTGGCTCAGTGACGCCCTCTCCTCTCTCTCTCCCGCTCTGCCCTGAGATGTCCCATGGATTGTCCTGCAGCACAACGGCTCGGCCTTGACCAGGGTCGCGGGTGCAAGCAAGGAGAGCCCACACTGGGCGGTGTTCCGGTACGCGGCCAGCGCGGAGCAGCTGCTGGTCACCATGGCCCGAGCCAGCCGCTGCCAGCAGAAGCTTGTGCTGCACTGCAGGAGGTCTCGGCTCCAGGACCCGCGAGGTAGGTGGCCGGGGCCCTCCCAGCCCGGCCCTGACCTGAACCTGGTGAGGGGCGGTGGCTGCAGCCCAGAGGGCACTGGGGCAGCTCAATCCAGCACAGCCCACTGACCCTTGAGGTGGGCAGAGACGCACCCCGACTCTTCTCTACCCCCTCTCTTTTATATTCAATTTGCTGCAAAGCTGTTCCAGGTTCTGCGTTCCTCCCTTTAGAACATGTTTCCCTGTCGCTGTGTGTCCCCATCCCCATGAGCCTCTCCGTGCCCAGGGCTTCGATACTGCGCGGCTCTCGCTGGGTCCTGCTGTGGGTCTCTCCAGATTCCCCAGTGCTCGCGTCTTTATCTTTATGAACGGGCGCATTGCCGTGGGCTCTGCTTCCCCCCTGCACGCTCCTGCTTAGGAAGCTCCAAGGCCTTCCTGGGCAAGCAAAGCCCCGTGCTGGGATTCCAGGGACCCGGGTCTCCCCTCTCACACAGCCTCACCCCTGCTCCCCAGCACGCGGTTCCTCAGTATCAGGGTGTGTGGAGCGGCTGCTGCAGTGATTTATGTTGATAACAGTTGTCCTTGAATGCTGCAAATCATTCCTCTTTTTACCAGTTAGAGGAATTACAGGAGAGTGACGTTTGCCTCAGACTAAAGCCACTGTTGCTCAGTGTCACTTCACTAAATGTCTTTCCTGGCAAAGGAGCAAGTTACAGATTTGGGGACAGGACTACAAAAGGCTCTGGCCCTTGGTGTGAGCTTGGTGTGTGAGCATCCCATGCAATACGTGCTGTGTCCCTCGAGACCAAGACTGCTGCCCACTCCTACCCTGTGCCTCGGGTCAGGTTCTGCCACGCCCGGGGGCTCCTGCTCGATGTGGCCCTCCTGTCCCCCAAAACCCCCTCTTCCCTGAGGCCTGCCCACCCGGGAGCCAGCTCTGCCTGGCTGTGTCGGGGTTGCCCTGGGATCGAAGTTGGGGACATCTAAGGCCCCATGAGCAGCAGAAGGGGTGTGGTGAGGGGAGCCCCCTTCCCAGCCCGTGTTCACAGTGAGTGCAAGAGAGGTCGGCACTCACGTCTTCCTGTGAATTAAAAACAAAATTGCATGTGGACATTGAAATTGTCTGGAGGAGGGTGAGAAAAGGCAGGTGCTGTGGGGCCAAGTGAGCCAGTCCCCTAACCAGAGAGACCCTGGAGCAGGCGGCTCCACACCTGCACACAGGTGGCCCTCAGAGCCAGGAGGGGTGCCCACTGGCAAGGCTAGTGTTCCCTTCCGAGGTGAGTGGAATACCCCAAACATATGGGGGTGGGAGGCAAGATGGGAACATGGAAGGAAAGGCATGTGCCCCCCAAATCCTCACACTTGGGGGTCCATCTTGGTGAAGCCATGGCCAAAAACATTCAGTGAAACTGTAGCTTAGACAAAACAAAACACCTCGGATGTCAATGCAGGTAGAGCAGAGAACAGCGGGGCCTCAGCATCCACCAAGTGGGTGTCACGCTTTGTAAAAGGAAGTCACCCTCAGCCCATGCACTGTGAGGTGTGCTCTGAATCCAGAGCATCACTCAGGACGGGCACAGGTGGTGCACACTGCAGAATCCACCTGACATCTGACCGCCTGCCTGGACCTGGTGCATGCGAGGGTCCCTCAGGCTTAGCGGGTGGTCTGAGGATGTGCTGAACCACCAAACTCTGCAGGTGTGGAGCTTGGAGACAGGACACTCCCCTGCCAGCTCCTCCATCACGTCCTGATGTGGGTCCCTCAGCTGTCAGCCCCCATGGATGCCACTAGCTAAATGTACATGTGCACAGGTGACCACAGAGGCAGCGGAGCCCTGCCTGCCATCATGACATAACCCCACCTAGTGCAAAGTAGACAGGCAGGTACCAGGGAAGCCCAGAGAGGGGATCGTCTCTGCAGGAGGTGGGCTCTGGGTGGATGTGGCAGGAGCAGGTTTAGGGTGGACAGGCAGGTACCAGGGAAACGCAGAGAGGGGATCGTCTCTGCAGGAGGTGGGCTCTGGGTGGATGTGGCAGGAGCAGGTTTA